GGTATCTCAATACCTAGTTCAATCTCGTTACCGGCAAGTCTCTTTACTCGTTCCGTAATGCATCATCCCGCAACTAACTCATTAGTCACATTGCTTGCAAGCTTATAGTGATGTGCATTACCGAGAGGGCCCAGAGATACCCCTCCGACAATCGGAGTGACAAATCCTAATCTCGATCTATGCCAACTCAACAAGTACCATCGAAGACACCTATAGAGCACCTTTATAATCACCCAGTTACGTTGTGACGTTTGATAGCACACAAAGTGTTCCTCCGGTATTCGGGAGTTGCATAATCTCATAGTCAGAGGAACATGTATAAGTTATGAAGAAAGCAGTAATAACAAACTAAACGATCATCGTGCTAAGCTAACGGAATGGGTCAAGTCAATCACATCATTCTCTAATGATGTGATCCCGTTAATCAAATGACAACTCATGTCTATGGCTAGGAAACTTAACCATCTTTGATTCAACGAGCTAGTCAAGTAGAGGCATACTAGTGACGCTCTGTTTGTCTATGTATTCACACATGTACTAAGTTTCCGGCTAATACAATTCTAGCATGAATAATAAACATTTATCATGATATAAGGAAATAAATAATAACTTTGTTATTGCCTCTAGGGCATATTTCCTTCAGTGCCCCCCTCCCCCGTATATAAAGGAGCGGAGGAGGGGAGGGGTCAGCCCTCTCTATGGCGCATCCTAGGGGAGTCCTACTCCCACCGGGAGTAGGATTCCCCCCTTTCCCTAGTTGGAGTAGGAGAGGAAGGGAAGGAGGAGTAGGAGAGAAGGAAAGGGCCCCCCAAACCTATTCCAATTTGGCCTCCTGCCCAAGGGGGGCGCACCAGTCCCTTGTGGGCTGGTGTGCTTCCTTCTTATGGCCCATAAGACCCATAACTTCTCCCGGGGGGTTCCGGTAACCTCTCGGTACTCCGGAAAAATGCCCGAACCACTCGGAACCATTCCGATGTCCAAACATAGGCTTCCAATATACCGATCTTTATGTCTCGACCATTTCAAGACTCCTCGTCATGCCCGTGATCACATCTGGGACTCTGAACAACCTTCGGTTCATCAAAACACATAAACTCATAGTATCGATCGTCACCGAACGATAAGCGTGCGGATCCTACGGGTTCGAGAACTATGTACACATGACCAAGACTCACTCCCGGTCAATAACCAATAGCAGAACCTAGATGCTCATATTGGTTCCTACATATTATACGAATATCTTTATCGGTCAAATCGCATAACAACATACGTTGTTCCCTTTGTCATCGATATGTTACTTTGTTTGAGATTCGCTCGTCGGTATCTCAATACCTAGTTCAATCTTGTTACCGGCAAGTCTCTTTACACGTTCCGTAATGCATCATCTTGCAACTAACTCATTAGTCACAATGCTTGCAAGGCTTATAGTGATGTGCATTACCAACAGGGCCCAAAGATACCTCTCCGATACTCGGAGTGAAAAACCCTAATCTCGATCTATGCCAACTCAACAAACACCATTGGAGACACCTGTAGAGCACCTTTATAATTACCCAGTTATGTTGTGATGTTTGGTAGCACACAAAGTGTTCCTCCAGTATTCGGGCGTTGCATGATCTCATAGTCATAGGAACATGTATAAGTTATGGAGAAAGCAATAGCAACACACTAAACGATCATCGTGTTAAGCTAACAGATGGGTCAAGTCAATCACATCATTCTCTAATGATGTGATCCCATTAATCAAATGACAACTTATGTCTATGATTAGGAAACATAACCATCATTGATTCAACGAGCTAGTCAAGTGGAGGCAAACTAGTGACACTTTGTTTTTCTATGTATTCACACATGTACTAAGTTTCCGTTTAATACAATTCTAGCATGAATAATAAACATTTATCATGATATAAGGAAATAAATAATAACTTTATTATTGCCTCTAGGGCATATTTCCTTCAATGTATTGTTCTGTTGCTCACTAGACGGGTATGCATTGTCGACATTGTTTCACTTTGTAGTCTACTCGTGCTTGTGTGGTGTACAAGAAGGTGGAGAAGAAGTCCTTCACCGTCATGCAATGTTGGTTGAAGTTGGATGGGCTACCGAAGAGGAACCTTTTCGTTGCCAAGACCGCCGCCCAAATCAACGAGAGAAAAACCGGTGACCCTAGCGAGGGCACCTCCTTGATCGGGGAGCAGCTGGCTAGGATTGGCAGTCTGGCGGGGCAGAAATGCATGGACTGCCAAACTGATGTTCTTTTGGATTCGGGCATGTAAAACTAAGCATGTTTGCCTCTTTTTGATTGTGGTCAGGGATGCAATCCGACGCGGGTGTGATCCGACGTGTTGTGTGAACTAGATGATGCCCTGCGCATTGCTGCGGGAATTGGTTGCAATATATTTCAATGGGACTTGATTGTGTGGAATATAAATTTTTAGATTAACAACACATGAACCAAAATTTAAAATACATATGACTTACTATATTTGATAAAATATTTATTGAATATAAGTTGAACAATAGAATGATAATTTTCCCATGCATGGTTGCATGTGGTGGTGGGTCTTTATGATGCATGGTTGCATGAGAAGATGGGTCTTATCCCATCCATAATTGTATGGTGATATGACATGCTTGCATGTTAAGCTAAGTAGGTTGGTGGGGATCAATCTCTTAGGTATATAGGATTAGAGTACATTTGAATGTGAATTTACTAGCGGACATATACATGATATAGTTGGATGGCGGCCTCCCGCATGTGTGTCCACGGACTAATCCTGGTTGCATCCGTGTCCGCGGAATGGCCCCCCTATTCGCGGATGGATGCAGGAGAAAATTTGCAGGTTGCCGTTGGAGATGCCCTAGGAGCAACTACAACCGGGCAACCCGTTTCGTCCGCCCATGTTCGTTTGGGTCGCTGCGGACAAAAATGATGGTCCAATGTGTCAACTCATTTCCAAAACCCGTCCGCTTCACGTCTGTGCGGACCCATTTTCGGCCCAAAGTTAGGCCTAAAATGCGTCGGCGCGGACGCGCCGTGCGTCCCCTTGGTGTCCCCCATGGCCCCACATGTTGGCCGGCCAACAACCCTAAACGGTCATAATTAACACGGCCACCTATCGAGGGCCCGCCTGACTGTGTATGGAAGGGCCGCGTGCCCATCCTTTTTAATGGACGCGTGCGGCGGGGCCAGCCTCATCCAGTCTCCGCCCACATCTGGCCACCTTTGCTCCCTCGCCGGGACCAGAAAACCATAGCCAGCCAACCAGCCCGAAACCCTAGCAAAACCATGGGCATCTTCAGCGGGAAGGAAGGGAGGAAGCGGAGGTTCAGCGCCGGAGTGAGCTCTTCCCGTGGGCTCCCTCCTCCACCGCCGCCGGCTAGATGTGAACGCCACCGCGGGAGTGAGAGAGGTTGTACATCCCAGTCCACCAGGCGCGGTGGCATTGGGAGTACCGCTAGCACCTCCGTATCCGGATGTGAACTTGCCGCACGGCTGGCATCTGAACCCGCAGCGCATCCCCATCCCGGCAGCGTCGTGGTCCGCGTGGGTGCACACAGAGGAGGTTTCCCGGTGGCATGAGCTCCTTACACCGGAGCAACACGCCATGCGTTCCTACGCGCCCGGCTCTCCCAACTGGGAGCGCTGGTTTGCGCTAGAGCATGAGGCGCCTCGGCGTCCACATCGACCACGACGTTCCACCGCCGCCCTGCGGGTAAAGCCATAGTAAGAGCAGGCGGAGGCGGAGTACCAAGTCACCCTCGAGGAGGTCCTACAGCACGCGCTGGAGGCGAGCCGACTCGAGGAGGGCGCCCATTGGGATGGGCTGGAGCAAGCTCTTGCTTTGTCCGTGGTGGGGAACTCCGTCCACGCGCCCCTGTTCGTGCCGCCACCGCTGTCGGTGCCGCCCGTCGTCGAGCCCAAGGCCGAGCCAGAGCTGGAGCGCGAGCCAACGCCCACGCGGAAGCAGTCATCGCCGCCCCCCACTTGGCCCGAGGAGTCCTATTTGTGGACCGGCCAGCTCAGAGAGTGGGTGAGCGCGTCTCCCTGCTACTTCACCTCCATGCCGGAAAAGGGCGCGGCCCACCTTGAGCGCTATAAGGTGCATTGGATCGCAAAGGAGGGGGCCGACGCCGAGCGACACATGCATCGGGAGCACCAGTTGCACCGTGAGGAGGAGGAGGAGCGCGCCCGCCTCGCCGCAATGCCGCCGCCGCATCAGACACCGGAGACGGCTACCCTGGCGGCCTATCAAGCCGCGTTTGGTTGGGCTGGGCCACCTCCTGTATTCATACCTCACCGGCGACGACGACGACAACGGCAAGGGCAACAGCAAGGCAGTCTACTACGGTAGCGTGCGGGTGTTTGGTAGAGTTTTTTTAATGTTTTGTTACGTTTATAAGTGGACTTTGGCCGGCATTTGACCGGCCATTTATGTATAATTATGCTTAATTAAACCAGTTCCGGCCACATCAGCAAAAATGGGTATGCCTTCCGTTGGTCGCATCTGCTAACCCAAATCAAAAAGCGAACGCCCACATCCGTCAGGCCAATCCAAACGGACGAAAAGCGGACAAAACACGCGTCCATTTGGGTCGGCGCGTTGGAGTTGCTCTAACAAATGCAAATGAACACCTTCTTACAAATTATAAACATAGGACACACGATGCATACACATATTTACAAGTTTCCTTATTGATATATTTCTCCACAAGAATATATGTACAAGATGAGTATTTACAGAGATTCTAGTGGTACAACCCAATTCCAGTATATACCCAAGCTAAACTAGTTGCTATGATGCTATCCTTTCTGAGCTGACCTAACATTTCTTTCCAGAGCTAGTTTGTGCTACCCTGTCTACACAACCTATCTACACCAGACTAGCTTGATCATCACCATCATCTTCTGACCGGAAGGACTGGACCAATATGTACACTGAGATCTGTATCTGTGAACCCTACATATGATATCTGTGTGTATTACTAGTTCTATACTAGTAGAGCTTGATGAGGCCGAAGTTCTGGAACGGACGGTAGAACTTGAAGAGGTTCCCGAAGAGGAACGCCGTCGAACCGGCGGCGACCCCGGAGCTGGAACCGCCGTCGTCGGCCAGCGGGTTGTTCTTTACCCGCAGCGCGGCCTCGCCGATCTGCGCGCGGATGGCCTCGATCGTCTTGGCTTCCACTGGGTGACCCTGCGGGTCCGACAGGTAGAAGGTGTCCACGGCCTCCCCGTCCTCGGACGATATCTCGGCGCGCCGTATCGTCAGCCCGTTCTCCCGGAAGATTCGGGTGACGTCGGAGAGCAGGCCGGCGCGGTCGTCGGTGCGGACCTCCAGCTCCAGCCCGTCGGCGGTGCGGCGCTCCACGGCCGCCTCGAGGCACTGGACGACGCGCCGGCGCTCGGCCTCGGAGCTCACCGGGTGGCCGTCCACGTGCCTGATGTAGTACTCCTGGTAGGCGCCGCCGCCCGGCTCGGAGCTTACGGTGCCGTGGTGGACCACGTACTGCATGTCCGTGATGGTGCAGACGGTGTCGAACAGCAGCTTGGGCCGGTCCCTGCACCGGACCACCACCACGGTGTACCCGCGCTCGGCGCAGTGCGTCACGGAGACCTCCGTCCGCGGGTCCGGCCGTCCGGCGGCGCCGTAGTCCCGGTCCTCGAACATCATCTGGTGCAGGCGGCGCTCCTTGTGCGTCAGGCTCGCCGCGGCCGCCGCTCGCACGCCGTTCTGCCCGCGCAGCAGGTTGTCGAGGCGCCGGCTGATGTCGGTGATGCGGGCCTCGTCCTCGATGGCGCCGCCCGCGGCTTTGGCCGCGTCCGTGACCTGCACGACGGCCGCGACGCGCGTGTTGTGCGTCCAGAGCTCGGCGCTCCGGACCGCGCACTGCATGCCGGCGAGCACCGCGCACACCTCGGAGAGCAGGCCCGGGCGGTCGGTCCCCGTGAGCTCGATCGACGTGTACTCCTCCGACGGCACGATGCCCACCGTGTTGCGAGCCTCCGGGTAGTAGCAATCCTCGGCTTCCAGCGTCTGCACACAGCAAACTCAATCCTCAAAAACTCCTCGCCACAATTAAAAACTCCATCCTCCGGGCACCAAATTTCTTTCAGTGAATTACCGTCTGGATGTAGGAGATGGTTGGCGTGTCAAGAACCTTGTTCCCGTCACGGTCGGTGACATTGAACACTGCGGACAACAAGTGGAAAACGAAGAACTGAAATTTGTTAGATTCCGCGGAAATTGGGCGGAGGGCTAGAAGAACTAGAAGGTTTGATGGCCGTGTGGCGCACTCACCGTCCATGAACCAGCTGCCGTCGGAGGAGAAGTAGGCCTTGCGGATGACGAGGTTGAGGTCGGCGATGACCTGGACGACGGCGAGGAGGGTGCCGTGGCTGTTGACGCTGTCCACCCGGATGACGGTTGCGTCGTCGGAGGCTTCGTTGTCGATCACAACCCTGCAGCAGCACGTCCAATCCCCAAATCATGAGAACAGAGCAGAGCAGAGGATTCCCAATTTCGATCAACCAAGGACCGTCCTTTCGGAACAGAGATTTGAGGATCAAGAAAGGAAGAATACAACACACCAACAAAAGGAAACCAGAATCAAAAATTGTGCAGGTCAAGAACTGCAAAACTCGAAATGAACCCAAGAAATACCTAAAACGAAGCTAACTTTACAAAAAGCAAAGGCGGCTAATCGAGTTGCTCACCTCGGCGGGTTCATCCCCCGGACGAGCTTGGCATACTCGTCGTGGTCGTCTGTGAGAGCCATGGCGAGCACACCCTCACTCGCATCAACAGCTTACCTTCACTCGGCACGAAGCAGAGAGGCGGCAGGCAAGAGGAGACGTCGAAGCAGAGAGAGAGAGAGAGAGAGAGCTTGTGAATTGTGTTGGGCTTGCCCGGACAGACAACCGAAAAGCTTCGTGTCCGGTGGCTTTTATGCGAGGCGGCGAGCACGGATGAACGGGTTGATGTCGACAGATTTTGTAGAGCCTATAATTGGTACTGGGATATACATGTCGGACGTGAAACGGAATTATGCAATCATAGGCAGGTAATTAATTGGCAGCTAGAAGATTCCAAATTGCTGATTCTTTTCTATACCCCTTGTTATTGGAACGTGTGTTTCTTTCTCATACTTGTCAATTTTTTACTTTTCTCTTTAGTAGCCGTCGCTTAGCATAACCTAGTGTGCATGATAAACATGTAAAACTTGGGGAATGGCGATGAAAAATTTAGGAAAAGAATTTTTGGCAACATAAATTCAAATTCAAATTCTAGATATATATCTTATTTCAAATCAAAACATCATGAGGAACGAAAGGGAACTTAAGACTCCATCATCAGCTTCACGTAAAACAAAAATGATTGTCCCTCATTCCCTCAAAAGAAAATTTGTTTGCCCCCCGACAGTATTATTTTATTTATATTCGGCCTCAGACATACAAGCAAGGACCTCATGTTTCTTTCATTTTCAACAACATGTTACCTTTTAGCTTTTAGCAAACTAGAGGCATAATTCTTATCGACAAGACACCAACCATCTCAACTTATAAGTCGTTCCATGCATCAACAAGTTTTATTGAATATCATGCATTAGCCGTTCACCTCAAAAGATAAGGGTAATAATAATTGTTGGCAACTTTTTTTTTTGAAAGATAAAGCTTTATTAATTAAAAATAACGGTTACATCGTCTAAAACCGGTTGTGTGGAAGTAAGTTGCCAACTCCACAAGTTGCGAACAACCAACAATAATTGTTGGCAACTTAACTTACTTCCACACCCATCTTCCTATCTAGACTTCGCTAAGCCATGAAAATGAAAAATAAAGGAACTGCATTTGATGCATTCTGAAGACAGCCAAACATCTGATGATTTTTGGTCGCGTCCCATCTAGTTGTGAGTGGCAACTAACATGAAGTTGTTGGCCCTCATCCTTTCACGGGGAATCCAAGAATATTCATCGTCGATGGACTGGAGGCCTATCATCGCACGCGCGGGGGTGGGGGTGTGTTCTTAAGCGTGCTCACTCCATTACTATGTTGGCTCTTTTCGATGCTCAGGCACAAACTCTATCGCCGCATCTTATAGGCTCAAAAGAGCTTGGTAACTCATGTGCTTGAAGATATTCACGGCGGGTTGCCAACGGGCAACACCTCATTATGGGAGAGTGGCTTTTAGCGCACTCACGTAGCGGCCTTTCCCCCTTACTCAATCTTGTGGCTTTTTTTAGGCCCCCATGCCGAGTTTGTACATTGTATGAAATTGACAACACGGAACATAATATGTATTTACGTTGGTAAGCGTGGGCATCCAATTTCATGCATTCAACACTTCACTGTTTTGTTGTATTGGTAAGAATACCCATAGCAATGCGCTTAATGTCTTCTTAATTTTATTATAAGTGAGTGTCGTGTCTGAACTCAGGACCAACCATGTACCGTAGAGTAGATTTAGGATACAAGCAAACCGGATGGACAAAGTTGACGACTCACATGTTGCGTTGTAATTACTACTAACATAAGCATATAATGTGTATTTGGGAGATCTGTTTTGCAACTTTAAGCATTACCAGGTATCAATCAATGTGCAAGATTAGACATAGTAAACTACAAATATGAACATTAGTGTCATTATGTGATCCAAATATAGTAGCTAGTCATTGCCATTATGTCATCTAAACATGGTACCTAATTATTACATTACATTATTACAGTAAGACATTTCCTTGTCTCTACTACTATAGTACACAAAATTTTGAACATGGACTCATCACATAGAAGCATTTATTAGCCATTGATTTCTTACCCAACCCAACTGATCCAACGACCCTGGTTTCCGAGATTCGCTTAGTGCGGCAGCGCGCCAAAACGACGCCGAGATGGTCTTTCTGGAGTTATCGTGAACCCACTGTACATCTGCACACTCACAGTCTGGTGTTGATGAGAGAAAAGCTTCTATACAAGATCTTTTGTGGCTGTTTTCTGAAGCACCCATCATGTAAAGACATATGGGCACGAAGCCATGTAGAATTGCATCGTGTAACTTCGATTGTAGTCTGATCATAAGACATCACGTGCATGGCCCGTACCATCTACTAGTATTTATTTAGAGGCTTTATTATAAAGTTGATATTCAGTTCAAAAATCGTACAATATGTAGTTGTTTTTAAAATGTAAAAGCATTACTAATCTCATTGGTACATCCGTGACACCACTCCCTCTCGGCCTTAACCATCGGTCGCCGGCCTCCATGGATCTCTCTATGTTGTCACCACTCCTCCTCTATCCTGGCACCGATCCATCGCTCGAAGAGAGTCTGAGGTCGCGGCCAGCACTGTGTGTCTTGTGTCTCCCACAGGCGGTCACTACCACCTGACGCCTTCGCTACTATTGCTCGGAGAGAGTCTGAGGCCATGGTCGACGACAACGCATGGGATTTGTACTGCCGTTGCAGTCTAGCCGATGGTCAAATGTTGGGTCTCCCGCACATATGCTCGATAGTAGACACAACATGTGCTACCTAATTGTTGGTCGAGTAGGCGGCCACGATGGTGAGTTATGTTCCTTTCCGTTAGTGTTGTAATTTCAATTTTGCTATGCATCTTATGGACAAGTCATTATGATTGTGGAATACATTTATATTTATTTTACTATGGATGTTAGAATTTTACTTGCGCGCATTAAAACTAGATTTTGAATCTTAAGATCTAACTATGTAGGTTTTATTCATATCACCGATGATGCAAGAACTAAAAGTATGTATGTCTTAGTTATTTTGTCTACATGGGTATTTAGATAATAACTTAGACAAGCTATTCAACTCATACTTTGTAAGCACACTTTAATACTACACTTTGGAAACTTGACTGATGATGAAACTTGTGACCTTAGCAACTAAGTATGTGCCTAGCTTTCAATGCAAGTGTTCGGTAGTCACTTTTTATTACTATGTGTATGATTATCAAGTATAGCAAATGAACATGTTCTCTGCAGGGTTAGGTGAAAAATCGTTGTTGTTGTGTCCTTTTAATGTATTGCATAAAACAACCTTTTGCTAAGAATGTTATGTGTAGCGCAACTAAAATGTCACAATGGGGACGTTACTCCATTTTGGTTGCACAACACAAAAAGTTGGAACCAAATCGCACAACAAGTGCGGCCTGAGTTGGGCTTTCTTAGCAATTTTTGAAGCAATTGTAAGTTCGCCACTTTTTCTGATTTATCAAGTTGCTATTTTATTATGCAGCACATCCTCTTATAAGATATATATGTGTGCTACAGCTTTGGAAAAGTTGCCACTTTTCCCTTCCCCGTCGATTTGTTGACATAACTATCTTCTCTATCAACCTAAAATGGGTGAAGTGGAAGGTCAGTTATTGGATTCCTTAGAGTAAGTTTTCCTCACTCGCATAGGAATCTCATCGGCGGCAACTCCAAGATTTCATCATCATCAACCCATTTTGTTAGAAGCCAAGATAATTTTACGTTCCACTGGTTTGGTGCCAATGTTATTTCTAAATATTTGGAAAAAATATGAATGAAATGTAATGTTTCTTATGAGATGAATATGGATGTGCTTGTGTACTGTGCATGTCTATATAAGTGCTTTGTGTTAATGCCAACAGTGCAGCCCCAATCTACAAAGGCAATTACAAGTCATCATTGACCATCCTACTTGGCACCATTAATATGCACATCAATGACCAACTATCGGTCAATGATATGAAGTCATTACTAACCCCGGAGACACTAACGGAGGGTACACATTATAGACAACATTAGATTCACTTCCAAAAACATTGTATATAATTATGGATTTTTTGACTAAATATTATACACGAGATTTACAGTCGATACTCGGTATGAGCAGTCAAACTACATCATATATGCTGAAACAAATACATTTAGTAGAAATAAAACAAAATGCCCCAATGAAACGATACATCAAACCCTTCGTTCGCTTAATAAATCTACTTTCTTTCAGCGAGTACCACATGGGTGTCATGTCATTATTACTAATATATATATCAAGATGAACCAGTTCTATGATTTTGTCTATGTCTTTTCTTGCGAAAAGGATCCAAATTTATTATGAAGGTTGATCAGAAATACAAAACACTACAAATCTAATAAAAATTATATCAAGATTCCTAAATCTTCCGAATGACTATTGCTGCCACCAAAAAAAGCCATCGACGCATCGTTGTAACCATTGTCATACTGAAGTCGGCTAACCATTATCAATGATAGATGAGAAGCCTCGTCCACTCGCCCCTAAGGACCAGCACTATGGAGCACAGGCGTCGCCGCTGTACCCTTGAATCGATCTATAGAACCTGGCACTAAATCTCGTTGCTGCATGCACATCACAAGAAACCCTAACCTCGCTGCCCCGAGGAGCCGATAAAAATCTACGTTGGAGTTCCATCCAATCTCCCTGGCGGATAAACTCGACGAGGATTGAAGGCCGGAAGACCACTCGAATATGAAGTGCCACTATTCATCTGAATGCCACTGTGAGGACTAAACTTTAACCTACTACTAGCCGAACCGAGGCAGATTGCCCTCCCCATCACCGGTTTCAAAGCGGCATGGAAAAGGGAGACGAATCGATGAACTCACCGACGAAGATCGAGAGAGGAAATCTTTAGCCTAACCGCCTTGCAGGAGATGAAAGAAAGAGTCTTTTTACAAAGCTATATTTGACCGAGTATTAAACCAAACATGAAAGTATTAAACCAAACTTTTCATGTGCCCGTGGGATAT